TTATTCAACAAGCATATGTGTCTGATAACTCGCATAGTGTGCCCAAAAAGGACAAATGGAGAGTTGTTGCCATAGATTTTCTGCTTGTGAGTATACCAAGTTCATGGCCCGTCAAATTGGCCCGGTCGGAATTGTGGAGCAGTTGAAGACGAGATTACTTCGGATTCGAGGGCGAATCCTTTTCGACAGGGGGAGAATGATGGAGATAAGGATGTTTAGAATCTTTAATTATTATTATTATTATTATTATTATTATTATTATTATTATTATTATTATTATTATTATTATTATTATTATTAGTGGTATTATAGATTTGTTAGGAAACTTATTATTTATCACTTTTGTTAGGATTCTTATCTTGTTAGACAAGTTAGTATTGTTAGGATTCTTGTCTTGTTGGACAAGTTAGGATTAGAATTTATGAGCCTTATATAAAGGACTCTCCTCTTTTGTTATCTCAAGTTGGATTTGAATAAAAATATGAATTGATTGTGAGTTTTATCGAGAGAGTATCTCGTTTTGCGTGTTTTACGAGAGAGTATCTCGTTTACTCGTATTGTATCTTTTCCCATTCGTACGCTTTTCCCTACACCACCTGAATAGGCTGCCCTGCCCTTTTCATCGTGACTTGCTTACCAAAATTCGAGCTTTCATCCTCCGTGAATGAGGCCGGTATAAGAGGGGTCCATATGGGTCCCGGCGCAACCCCATTGACTCTTATGCCACGGTCAACCAGCTGGAGGGAAAGGCCACGTGTGAAAGCCATGATAGCACCTTTTGTGACCGTGTAGTCGAGCAGCTTCGCATTTCCCTTGTATGCATTGACGGAGGTCGTGTTGATTATCGACCCGCCTTCCTTCATGTGCTTCAGCGCGTGCCTGCACTCGATTTTTTCTTTCTCGCATTGCTTTTTGGAGATTATTGAACAACTATAACAACTATATCAATAAATTTAATTTGAAAATATAGAAGTTTCGAACAACTTGATTTTTAAAATCCCTTTCATGCGCATGACACGACGAGGTATTAAAAAACAACAAAAAAACAAATTCCGATCTCATAATTAAGCATGTTGGTTGGTTAACAAACTTTTAAACAGCTTGATTATTTATTTCCATCTATTGCAAGTGCGAACTCATATGTCTATTAAACTTGAATTGGGATCTCTATAGATGGATTTTCTTGTTTCCATCCTAGGGGCTCTGAGTGTTGGTTATTAGAGATTATATTGAACTAAATATAAATGTATACAATAAATTTTGATTTTTTTTAACCTCCCAAAGTATGTCATTTTGTAGAGTTTGTCATACAAACTTCGTTTTTTGACAATTTTGTCTCACAATATAATCGAAACTGACAATTTGCCTCCTCAATTAAAAATTCTAATATGGCACAAAAGAGTTTTTAACTCAATTAATGATAAATTTTAAATTAATCTTTAAAATTAATTTAGGACTTTTAAAGCCCATGACGATACGACCAAAATAAAGTATGATTTGTCGAATTTTGAAAACTGATACCTCTATAATCGATCTACGAAGATAGTAGGAGCACGTGTGCATAGAAAAAAATTCAATTCAAGTTTTTTGATAATCGAGATATCCGATTTTCGATTGGGAAGTTTCATTTGAAAGCTAGTATGACCAAATTTTTTAACACGTAAATCTTATGAAAATCCAACGGTCGGATTTTGATCACTATTTAGAAAACTACTGATCAATAGTTATTTTTTTAGGCTACTAACCAAGATCCGACCATTGGATTTTCATAATATTTACTTCAATAGAAAAATCGTCCT